GGGCTGCGGAGTGAAAAGACTTTAGCTGAGCTTGTAACCTTTATAGGTTAGCAGGCACTCAGCTGCCACTGCTGGCAAGAGGTTCTAGCCCAGACCTGCTAGAACCGGTTGGTTTCCTACAAATGTGGGGGGAGGGGAAAACTAGTGACATATGGACACACACCCATACATCAGGCAAATGGGGTTACAGGTTTTCTGTGCTTCCTCTGTAATGACTCTTCATATAGCATACACTATATTATCTAAGGAGGCAGGTCCCATGTCTGTTCTCCTGGAAGGGCTGACTCGGGCTTAGCACCCAGGGGGCGCAAAAAGGGCAACGCTAGAAGGGACAGTGAGTCTGAAGCTCCAGAAAATCTGCCTTAGCTGAATATGAGGAAAACCCAGTCCTGGTAGAAATTTAATCTTGAAACTCCAAGGGTCCAGGGAGGCATATTAACGGTGAAAGCTATAGCTGAAATTGCAAAGATTACCCACTTTTCCAAGGTTAGTATTCTTAGACTCACCCCAGCCCAGAACCAGCAGGGACCTGAAAGATCATGCAGGCCTCATTTAATTGTGGGAGAGAATAAGGTGGAGCAGACCACAAATTGGCCAAAATTTTCACACCAGGAAGTAGCTGCCCAGTCCCACTCCCCTGCACCAGACTAGGGTGCTCCCACAGCCCCTGTCTGATTTTGCCAGGATGAAATATCTCCATAGCCAAAGCTGATGCCAACCTGCCAGTTGTTAACTATTGTGGCTAAAGTAGAGGTCTTGAAAAGAGTAGGTTGCCCCTTCTTGGGGGTCATCAAGGTGGGCTCTGGACCTCAGTGTAGCCAGGGGCAAGTAAATTATTCCCCATGGCTCCCAGAGTCTTCGAAGCCCAATTCAAAGACAAACCTCTGTTCAGTAGCACACAGAACTCTGGATAGAGTAGCCTGGACACAGCGGGCCTCCTCCCAGCCCACAGACACAGACTCTGAACATGGCACCTGGATTTCTGCAAGGAGCTGTGCCTGGCACTGGCTTGGAACATACTTTGAGCCCTATGGGCTCAACACACTAGGGCAGGCCCCCACAAACAAAAGTATTAGGCAAAGTCCCAGGGTTCCACTCTTTCCTGCATGCAAACACCTCCCACTAGAAGACTTCTAGGATGCTGGGAGAGGAGGGCTGGGGATGGAGGGGGACTCTTGCAAAAAATAATAATAATAACAAGACTTAGAGGAGTAGGAACCTTGATCATAGACACCAAGCAAAGCCAAAACTTGAACCCAGGACTCTGGGTTCCCATTCTGGTTCTCCTAGCACAAACTTCTGAGAAAGCTTAAAGGAGTGGGAACAAAGAACTGTCGCCTAGACACAGGTTCCACAGACTTAAGGCTGAAGGCAGAGCCCAGGACCTACACTGGCTTGGGTCCTGGCACGGGAAGCCAGATCCTCTGTGGCCTGAAACAGCTCAGAGCCAAGAGGGGAAACGAAGTGGAAAGGACCAGTTGGGAAAGGAGTTCAGCTCCTTGCTTTTCAAAACCGTAGAAACATTAGCAACACCCCCCAAGTCTCCCACCTCCTCTGTCTGACCCTGTCCCAGAGAACCAGCAACACGTGTTTCCACATCGCCCTGACAAAGAAGCAAAAAACAGGACCCCTTTTTTAAGCCCTTCATTCCGGAGCTCAGCGACCCGGTTCCCATGCTGGAAGTGGCCGGAGCCGAGTCAGAGCTGAGAGGCTGGGGACGGGGTGGGGGTGGGGGGGCGGAGTCTTGCTTCCACTCCGTGCTCCCCGACCACCCACGGGAGAAGCGCCACCGCCGTCCTAGTTCTCCCAGCCCTCGCCTCCCCGTGGGCAGACTGCGGGAGCAGCCGACCGGAGTCAACTTCCGTAGAGGCCACACGGAAGTGCTGGGCGCTTCTCCGGCCGCGGGACCGGTAGGACCCGTGGGGTTAAGTCTGAGTCGCCGCCCGGCGAGAAGACGGAGCGCCGAGCCGGGGCGGTACCGGCAGTGGGGCAGCCGGCCGGGTTAGGAGAGGAAGGAAAGGCGGGATCCTCCAAGAAGTAGATTCTCAGGCATCCGCCTGCAGCCACTGCCAAATCTTCCCCACGTCTCTCCCCTGCTCCCTCCCCCTTCCCCTCGAGGACCGCACTGGTCCGCAGTTCTTAAGATGGGGGTGGGGCGCGGTCAGCAGGAAAAGCCAAATCTTTGAGGGGCGTCCGAGCACGTCCAAACTCTACCGTCCCGCTGGCGGGTTTCTGAACAGAATCTACCCGCGAAAACAGGGGCCCCGGGAGGGGCGTGGTGATCCTTGGGGCGGAGGCGCCCTGCAGAGCCTGGCGAAACGCTGCCCAAGGTTTCTTCCGCCTCGAGGTTCCCTCCACCCCTCTCTTCCCTTCTTCCCGGCACCCCCTTAAACAGTCCTCCGCCTCCCCTTCTCCCCTCTCCCCTCCCTACCTCAGTCCTCCCCTTTTCTTCTCCCCGCGTCGCCACTCCGCCCCACGCCAGTGTCCGTCTCCTCCCTTGCTCTTTGGGCGTCCGCCCCGTCAATCACCGCCGCCGCGGGCCCCTGCCCGGCCCTCAGCGCCTCCCAGGCTCTTGGAGCGCCTCCGGCTCCTGTCTCAGGCCGCCCTCAGCTTTGCGCGGAGCCGGGCGATCTGTCAGCGGAGCCGGCGGGGGGGTGGGGGAGCCGCCCGGCCCGCCGGGGCTCGGGTTACCAGTGACTGACAGCGTCTCCATGGCGAATAATTTGACTCCGACTATTGTCTGGCGCGGGCAAGCCCCGGGTCAGATAACCAGACCAATCAGGGCGCGGGCCGCTGCGCCTCATGCCCGCTTAGAATAATATTATTAAAAAAGCAGCGAGCGAGCGAGACCGGGGGGAGAGCGAGCAAGAAGCGAGCAAGGGAGCGACGGGCGGCCGGGCGCAGAGCATGCCGAGCGGCGCCCGGGGCGGCCCCCGGGCTTGGACGAGGGCGCTAGCAAGGCGCGCAGGCGGCGGTGGTGCGGAGCGGCACGGGAGCCGCGACCGGCGCGGGGACGTACTGCAGTGACTCGGAGTTCGCCGTGAGCCAGCGCGGGACCGGGGGGCCTGCCCCGCCCGCCTTTCGGCCGGGACCGCCCGGCGGGGAGGCGCCCATGCCGGACAGCCCAGCGCGGTGAGGGCGCGCGCGCGCGCGCCGGCGGGCGGGCTGGGGCTCAGCCGGCACCATGTCCATGCTGCCCACCTTCGGCTTCACGCAGGAGCAAGTGGCTTGCGTCTGCGAGGTGCTGCAACAGGGCGGCAACATCGAGCGGCTGGGCCGCTTCTTGTGGTCGCTGCCTGCCTGCGAGCATCTCCACAAGAATGAAAGCGTGCTCAAGGCCAAGGCGGTGGTGGCCTTCCACCGCGGTAACTTCCGCGAGCTCTACAAGATCCTGGAGAGCCATCAGTTCTCGCCGCACAACCACGCCAAGCTGCAGCAACTGTGGCTCAAGGCGCACTACATCGAGGCAGAGAAGCTGCGCGGCCGACCCCTGGGCGCCGTGGGCAAGTACCGCGTGCGCCGCAAGTTTCCGCTGCCGCGCTCCATCTGGGACGGCGAGGAGACCAGCTACTGCTTCAAGGAAAAAAGTCGCAGCGTGCTGCGCGAGTGGTACGCGCACAACCCCTACCCTTCACCCCGCGAGAAGCGCGAGCTGGCAGAGGCCACGGGCCTCACCACCACGCAGGTCAGCAACTGGTTCAAGAACCGGCGGCAGCGTGACCGGGCAGCCGAGGCCAAGGAAAGGTACGAGTAAGTAGAGCTCCAGCGCCTGTTTCCCCCACCCCCGGGCTTGAGGGAGGGGGGTCTCAGGGCGTCGGCTTAACCCCAGGAGAGGCCTAAACTGGGTCCCTAGTCCCGGTCACCGCCCAAATGCATTCTGGTCTGCCCCGGATGGCTCTCAGGTCTTGCGCGATACCAGGAGGGCAGGGATTTGTCTAAAGCGGGCAAAGCAATCGGGGAAGTTGTCAACTAACTCCCTGGTCGCTTGTGGGCAAAAGTGGAGAAGCAGCGCGCTTCGGAGCGAAGGCAAGACAGAGCGCCTGGATCCCCTGCAAGGGGAGCACAGCGGGCAGGGCCTAATAGTCCTCCGAAGGACTGAGGGGGTTTGGCCAGGACTGTTGGCGTTGCGGATTTCAGGCTGCCTGTGGGAATTCACCAGCACTTACTCGCACTTTCGATATAGGCCTTACTGAGCTCTCCGCCAAAATGTGCTAGGAATCAGGACTGGGATTGGAGTTTCCCTAGTATGACCTGGATGTGGAGGGACCTGGGCAAGACTTTTCCTTGTCTGGATATGGGGGTTAATAGTGAGAGTTTTTTATCCCGCATACAAAGGACCAGGAGGCAAAAGGCTTGGGGAGGAAGTCTCAACTCTGGGAGGGAAGAGAAACACACGCCCTTTTCTGCCTTGTTGGATACAGCCTGTCAGGCCCTTGACCCCTCTTTCTTCAGGCCCTACCCTACTTAGTGGGTACGTCGATAGGTCTGGGGTGAGCTGAGGACTTCAGAAAAGCTGGGAGTTGCTTGTCTTCCAGTCCCCCAGACTTCCTGAACTAGTCTAATGGTTGCCCATTAGGCCCTGGTGGCTGCCAGCTCTGTTGCCCCTCAGAACCCCAAATCTAGAGGGGGAAATAGAGAAACTGATTGTGAGAACAGAGTCCAGCCTGATTGCAACAGGGTGTGTGCATCCCAGAGTTTGCACGATCAGTCGGGTGGGGGTACTGAACAGTGGAACCAGATCTCTGGAGGTGGAGCTAGGGAGCTTCAAGTGACCCTTGCCTCTGAGACTATGATGTTGGGGTATCCACCATTGTAAGGTCTCAGCTACCAGTCCTGTGGGAAGTTTCCTTCCAGGAAAACAGGAAGAAAAGGCCATGGAAAGCCAGTGAAGAGAGAATCTACCCAAAATTTCAAATCTCAAAATCCGGGCAGGGCTGTCACAGTCAAAGGCAGTGCAGGAGGTGGGCTCTCCCTGCTGGGGTCCCCTCCACCCACACTGGCATGCATCCAGACTCCTGAAGAACTAGGTTCTCAGGTCAGGACCCAGGTGAGGGCTGCAGAGTCCCTCTGTTTCTGGTTTGACAAGAAAGCCTAGGCCACGATGAGCACTCCCCTCTGTTCTCCATTTTCCATTTTCCTAGGAGCTGCTCTTCAAGCCCCTAGCTTCCAGGCCCCCAGCTGAAGTTTCCACTATGCCACCAGGGAAAGGGAGTCCTACATTCATCCTTAGGGCCTTGTCCCTAGACCCAACAAGAAGAGCCCTCACCAGGCCTGCAAATTTGGAGCTAGAGGGAAAGGACCCATAGCTCCGGGAACCTGTTCCCCAGTCAGGGATTTCCCTCAAGCAGAGAAAAGCAAAAGGCGAGGAAGGCTTCCGAGATCCTCAACTTCACGTGGGGTTCTCTGTACCTAGGGTCCCTCAGTCTCCTGGCCCCACTTCTACCCAGCAAACCCTGGCTTGAGGAGCCATGAGTGATCTGAAAAGCCAGGCATTTTCTCTTTTTCCCTGTCCCTGCCACCTACCCAGCTCCAGGGAACCCTGCTCCACGCCGGGCTGCTCTGGAAAAGAAATGTTCGCAACTCTGTGAGGTGGGAGAGGGACAACATACAGAGAGAAAGAAAGATTTTCATGAGATTGAGAGCATGAGAGGTGGGGAGATAGAGATCATACAGGGAGAAGGATAAGAGAAATCGGTGTTGAGAGTTTGAGAGAACTGGCAGAAAGAACGAGAGCCCCAGGCCAGGCCGAAAAAAATTGGTAGAAACCGAACACCCGCAGGCGGCGCGCAGTGGCTCTGGCTCGGAGGCGGGCGGCAGGCTCCAGCTCCGGGTGTCGCGGCGCCGAGCGGCCTCTGTAGCTCCACTGACCCGGCTGCTTTGCTCCTGCACTTGCAGAGAGAACAGCGAGAACTCCAACTCCAACAGCCACAACCCGCTAGCGGCGTCGCTGAACGGCAGCGGCAAGTCGGTGCTAGGCAGCTCGGAGGACGAGAAGACGCCGTCGGGGACGCCAGACCACTCGTCGTCTAGCCCCGCACTGCTGCTCAGCCCGCCGCCGCCACCAGGGCTGCCGTCCCTGCACAGCCTGGGTCACCCTCCTGGCCCCAGCGCGGTGCCGGTGCCGGTGCCGGGCGGAGGAGGCGCCGACCCGCTGCAGCACCACCACAGCCTGCAGGACTCCATCCTCAACCCTATGTCGGCCAACCTCGTGGACCTGGGCTCCTAGAGCCCCGCCTGCCTCGAAGCGCCGGCCTTCCGGGCTTGGCACTGGAAACTTCAGAGAGACCGTGTCGGGAGGGCGCTCGGCGCCGGCGGCCCCACCAGGTACTGAAACACCCGCACGCTGAGCGGGGCAGAACCGCCGGCCCCGGCAGGGCGGATGGCTGTCTGGTTTGGTCTTCGTTCGGGATTTATTTTCAACAAGTTGCTTTTGAGATCCTTTGAAGGACTGGGACCGGGTAATGAACCAGGGAAGGGAATAAATTATACACCATCCTCATCCTCTCCCTATGTTCTCTTGGCTTCTCTTTCCTTCTGTTCTCTCTTCCTTTGCTTTGCCTTCCTTGCTCTTTCTTCCTCGTCCTTCTCTCCTCTCTTCCTCCCTCCCCTTCTTCCTTGTCCCCTTCAGTCTGTTTCTGTTTCCTTCTGTATTTCTGGCTTGTCATCTCTCGCTAGGTTTCTGTTTTTCTGCTTCTGCTCTCCACCCAACCTCCTGCACTCCTAGCCCCTTGGTCTGTGCCCCTCAGTCTTTTTCCTCCAGCCTGGCCTTCTATTTGCCTTCCCTCCACCCCATCCCTCACTCTCCTGGGGTGGGGAGAGGGAGGAAGAAAAGCAAAGGGAAGACAGGGCGTTTGAAACCAGGCCTTCTCCAGAGGCCCTTCCCCAGGGGTCATTGGGGCTGCTGGTGTCAGCTTTGCCCCTAGTAACTTAAGTGCAAGGGAAAGGGCTGCTGTGCAAAGGCCCTGCATGCCCCCTTGCCTCTGGCCTGCCTGCCTGCCTGCCTCTCTCTCTCTCTCTCTCTCTCTCTCTCTCTCTCTCTCTCTCAGGCCCTGCGCCGGCTCTCTTCTTCCTCCCGGGACTGTGGCCACAGTGCTCCAGGCAGACATGCCTCTTGAGCCTCGGACTTGCCCTCTCCCTGTTATGCCCTCATGTGAATGTTCTTTGGGAAATATTTCTGCTTTTATTTTATAATAAAATTAGAAATCATAAATATATATATGGATATATACCACAAGGCCAGCAAGCCGTGAGTGCAACAGTGTCTGATTTCCCTACAGGGACTCGACACCCGGGTGGACCGTTCTGGGCAGCGATGCCGGGTGCGTCCCCAAAACCTGGAGACGCCTTCCCACATACGCAACGTGTATCGGTCACAAAGTGAAGGGACTGAAAACTCGGAAACCTCTTCCCCCAAAGCCCGCTATTTCTTTGCCCGTCCGGGAAGCTCCCTACAGAAGCAGGGAGGAGGTGGCCTGCCTCTCTTGGGGACTCCTCTCCCCCCACCAGCGGACCCTCTTTCTTCACCTCGGGGATTCAAGTAGGAAATGAGAGTCCGTGTGCGGAGCATAGGTACCTGTGTTGGGAGATAACGAGGCTGGGGAACAAATCGGGCTGTGGATTTTTCCTGAAGGGGTGTACTCCTTTGTGGTGGAAGCAGTCCCCAGAACCAGGTGCGACCCACTGGGCAGATTCAGCGGCCCCTAGGGCAGCCGCTGATCCAGCCTTGAAGCCTGGGTCTTGTGTGTGTGTGTGTGTGTGTGTGTGTGTGTGTGTGTGTGTGTGTGTGTGTGGCGGTGGAGCAAAGGTCTCCATGTTCCGAAATCTGTCGGTCTGGAGTGGAGATGAAGGGGTGGGGAGAAGGAAAGTCAAATGAGACTCAGAGAGGCTGGCTGCGCCCGCGCGTGTTCTAAATTGGAGCAAGCCGCCGCCGGGGGTTGGCTGGTCAGACCAGCGAGACACCTCCGCGCGTCGTACGCCGGTGCTTCCGTGGCTGTAAAATAACCTGCAGCGACCCCTGCCCTCTTGGGGATCGAGTCCTCCATCTTATTAAGCGACACGTCTAGCCAGTCTAGGCAAAGCAGGCGGGACTCCCAGGGGAGGAAGCCGAGGCTTTTCAGGTCGCGGTCGCGATTGGTACAGAACACGTCCCACCTCCACGACTAGGCTGTTTAGGACCAAACTTGCCAGCCCCGGACAGGAAGGGATGAGGGGTGAGGGGCTCTTGCAGCTAGGTGATCTTGAGTGCGGGGACCTCTCGGGACTTTCCTCTTTGGTGAAATCAGCGTTCACTGAAGACACTTTGGCTCGGACTTTCTAAGCATCAAGGATTCCTTCCCAGTTGAGACCCTCGCAGACGCGGGCAGCTGGGAGGGCTAACTTGCCGCGAAGGCTGTGCCTCGGCCTTCACACTGTGCGGGCCTGGAAGTCAAGGGAATGAATCGCCAAGCCGGCTAAGGCTGTTTCGCCTGCTCCTCCCGGACTTGGTCTGTGCTTGTAGGGCCCAGCCGCCCCGTATCCGCTGACTGTCGGGGTGAAGAGCCCGCTACTGCCTGAGGGTCTGGAGAAGCTCAAACGAGGCAGGAAGCCACCTTGAGTCAACCAAGCCCAGCTGACAGGCCCGGGCTGACTTTTGGGAAGGGGGAAATGCAGTAACCCGTGTCATGCCTACCTGCCCCCTATTTGCCAGACACACTCACAGGCAAACAGGCTGTGTACCAACTTTCACAAAGGAGAGGAGCATACCATTTATAATTGGATTCACTGGGAGTGAGAGTCCGTTCTGTGTTAGGCACTGTGGATGGCAACCCCCTCACACGGGGAAGCACACAGACTCTGTCGCATATGTTCACATGCACACGTGCACGCAGAGGAGCAAACATACACAGACCCTCAAACCATTTTCACAGACACACCAACACATGTCCTCAAGCGAAACAACACTCTCCTGCACAGATATATCAGAGATACATACACAAATGAGCCACTTCCAAATACGTGCGCTCTCTCACACACACAAATACAAATATGCATCATGCTTCTCCCCAGAACCACGAAAATCCACGCTCACACGGGTGCCTCTGCCAGCAGCAGGTCCCAGCCCAGCCACCTGCTGAGGCCAGGTCGGCCTTGCAGGCGTCCTCGGCACCGGGCGACTGAGCTTCAGAGACAGAAATTATTCCAGCGCGAGGCGGCAGCAGGTCAGGGATCACACCTGCGGCACCTTCTCGCCTACCCGCCCAGGTGGGATCTCTGGAGTTTGCCCGGAGCGCTCACTCACCAGTAGGGGGCGGAGTGCTTGTCCCCCAACTTTATTCCGGAAAGTGAACTCCTATATAGCCCCGCACTACTCGTTGCAACTTCCCTCTTGCCTTCCCTGTTGGAAACCTAAACGAAAACATTTATTTAAATGGGGAAATTATATAGAAGTTCTGAAAAGAAGTTCTATCAAGAAGTTCCGAATGGCTACTGGCGCACTGCATAAATTCCTACAAGCCACCCCTCTATTCCACACTCCAATGGACCCACGGAGAAGCTGTGGCCGGGTCCAGAACACACCAACTGGACATAACTTTTGCACAGAAATAGCCAGGTGAATACTACCACTCCCTGTCGGTGGCCACCAAACAGGATTCCCAGTGATTTGTCACTCCTCCCCTCCGTCCTCCCCTCCCCCCCGCGGCAGCAAAGAAACCAGGAATTTCGCTCCAGCAACTCGAAGTGACTGAGCGACTCGAAGCTCGAGTCTCCCTCTCTGCTCCTGTGACCGCATTCGCATTTCATTTGTTCCCAGGTCCCATACCCACGCAGCCCTCGAAGGTGAAGCCGAATGAAGAAGGTAGAATAGAACTCAGACTTTGAGGGCAGCTGGCCAACTCATCTGCTTGGGGCATAAAAGCCGAGGGTTGTAAGGGCAGGAGGGAGCACGGGGGATCGCCATGCGTCCTCGTCAGTTTCCTCCCTACACCCCAAGCCTGGCTTTAAGCGGCCCCCGCCAGGACTCGGATCAGGCCTGGACTCTGGTGTCCTCACCCCGAAGCGCATCACGAGGGGTGGCGGGCCCACCTGGGGGAACAGGTGGTGATGACATGCCACAAAGCAAAGGTTAAACAGACTGAGGGAAATCTGGCGAGAGAACGCCGGGCTGCTGCGTCCTCGCTTTTCCCCAGTCCTTGTAGGAAACACCATTTGGCCCCCGGAGAAAAGTATGGACCAGCCGAGTGGGGGCGCCGGAGTCAGCACGCAAGGAATGTGGCTTCCACGGCCCCCTCAACGCCCACCTCTTGCCAGCATGCTGCCCGGGCTCCAGAAAGAAGAAATGTGAATGTTTCTGTGTTGAATGGCAGATGGAGAAGGACTGAGAAGGACTTTGGCTCGCAACTGGGCCCCTTCCTTTTTTCGTGGTCCCCATCCCAATGCTACGGCTTTGGGCTTTGGTTCCCTGGGCACTCAAAGTTTCTTAGGGATAATGGAAGGGGATGCGAACCAGTCAGTGCGTGAGGATGTACTGGGGTATGGCATGAGAGTGTGTGCGGGCAATGGGGTGAAAAAAAACCCGCTGGCGTGCACAAATGGGGAGGTCGTCTGCCTCACTAGTAGAGGTGAGCGGATGAGCCGGTGCGCATCCAGGGCACTCGGGGGAGCCGGAAAAGTCGGGCTACGCCTGAGCGCGGCGGCTCGAAAGCGGAGGCGCCTGAGGCGGTAGGAGGACCAGCCTTTCCTTTCGTGCCGCCAGAACCCAACCCAGAGCGAGCTGATCCTGATTACTGAAGTCTCTGCTGACCGCGGGCTGGGTGAACGCAGAGGGAAGCAGAATCTCTGGGTCGCGGCTGCCGGGGTGGGAGTGGGGTGCAGATTAGTGGAACTGAGGCTGGGCGGGAAAGACCTTGAATCCTGGTGTCAGGGTCAAGGCCTTTTGGGAGTCTCTTCTCAGAACTCCGCGGGTTCCTGTGTGACTGGAACTCAGAAACGGTCTCCTGGGTTGCACGGTGGAATCAGAGTGGAAAGGGTGAGATTGCGCGCCTTCCAAAAGGGTGAGTTTTCCACTCTGTTTCCACATAATCTCAGGAGCAGAGCTGCTCCCCCACCAGGTAGAGCCGGGCGGTTCTGCGGTCCAGAGAGTCTCAGTAACACCGTGTGGATGCGCCCAAAGGCCCGTCTCGCCAGGCCTGACAGACGCCCCTAGTTCCCCCACAGACTCCCTTTCTTGGAGGGACCCACAAACCTGAGGCTGACACGGGATGGGCATGTAGGGGCAGGCTGTCTTTAGGACGCTAGCAGTCCTCGGCCCTACCAGGGTTGAATCGATAACTACCAGCGGCCCAGCCCTCCTGGGGTGCCAAGCGCGTCCTCACTTGCTGAGTAGCGGTACCAGCCCTGATTCTGGCTGGCTGCGGGGAAGAATCCCGTGGCTCCCCCAACCCCGCCGGCCGCAGTCTCCAAAGTCCCGTCTGCGCGCTCGGTGCCAAGCCGGCGCGGCCTGCCTTCTGGGGCGAATAGCCCGCGCTCTGCTCCGGGTAACATGAAGCCCTGGGTCTGAGGGCTGGGAAGCCGGCGACCGCGGGGGCAGGGCAA